AATTCGACTACATTCTCTGTCTGCAAAATTCTTAACTTCATTAGACCCGAACCCTCTTTTTCTCTCCCTCTCTTTGTCTTTCTTTTTTAACTACTTTGCCGATTCCTTAACCAGCACTAGCCTGTCACCATATGCAACAGCCCATCATTACAAAGACATTTCGGGAGGTCTTAAAAATGTTTGCATTTTTAAGAATTCCCTATTGAAAAGGAGAAGATGCTAACATTTCAAGGCAGCAGAGTGCAGGTGGGAAGAGCCAGGCTTGGGAAGTGGCCTGCCTGGCTGTGAGATGCTAAGCAAGTTCCTTAGTCTCTCTGGACCTCAGTTTCCTCATCCGTAAAATGGGGAGAAGGAAAAGAATAGCATTCCTCTTGTAGGGTTGTCCTGAGGCTGAAATGAGTCAATACACAGACAGAAAGCATTCAGAAGAGCGCCTGGCACATGGTGAGTCTCTGCAAGTGTTGATTATGTTATCACATTCTACCTTCACAACAATCCAGTGGAGGATCATTGTCCCCATTCTAATTAGATACTTTGAGGCTCAGAGACGGTAAGTAACTTGTGTTAGGACACACAGCTAGGAAGTAGCAGGATTAGCTGGAAGTCAAAGCCAAGCTGGTCTGATTCTAAAGACCCAGCTCTCCCCTTCCTGTGGCTGTGCACATTTCCCTGAGTGGGGAATCACATTAGGCTTAATTTTTTTTCTTTAAATATAACTTACTTTTTTGATAATCAGTGGTACAAAACTCAAAAGGAATCAAAAAGCGTACAGTGAAAAGTCAATTTCCCTCCCTTCCTTCTCTTCTCCCACCCAGTGTCCCTTCCCAGAGCCAATAGTTCTTACCAGTTTCTTGGATGGCCTTTCAAAGGAAGCTTTAGACTGAGCTTCTCATTGCTTAATCCACATTTCCAGACTAATGTCCCTCCCTGAGTGCCTCACAGGTGCCAGGTGCTCTATGCTGGGGCTACTACTGCCTGCAGAGGGCTCCCTGGCTTGAGTCTGGAGGTTATTTATGGAGGGACCTGCTACACCGACAGCTGCATTAAGTGCTTTTCCCTCTGTGGCCATCTCTTTCCCCAGTAGAACCAGCTGGTGCATCCTGAGCAAAGGAAAAGCCAAATAAGGTGCAGGAAAAAATTCTTCTCCAACTTGGCTTTGCATAGCCTCCAGGAAGGGAGGGGCACTGTGGTGTCAGGAGCCGACCACAGGACTCTGAGAGTACTCGACAGACATGTCACCTCTCTGGGACAAGTTTCCTTCTCTGCGAAACTCCTGGCCCTTCCAGCATTCTAGTCCTCCTGCCCTAAGGACTCTTAGGAAGGGAAATTTTCCATGAAGCCTTGATGCTCCTGATCTCCACTTCCAGCCTGATGGCACCAGCTGCTCCACAGGAAACCCAGCAAGGCCAAAAGGGCTCTAAAGCCCTTTCCTACTTTCCACCATTGTTCTTTGAATGGTAATATGTTAAAAACCTTATTTCCCTACTGCTGCCAATTTAAAACCAAGTCAGCCACAGCAGAGCTTTCTAGATGATGTAATTATAAAATAGGCTTATAACCTTTAGTGTGATTACATAAAAGCATAAATTACGGGTGTTGGCGACTTCAGAAAGGGCTTCTGATCATAACACGTGAATCCTTGTTCTCTCTTTCCACACACTAAGGCTTTGGCTAAAGGAGACAGGGCAGGGAGGTCACCATTTTGGAAGCAGCTATTATTATTCCATTTCAAACACGGAGGTTCAGGAGAGGTCAGCCTGCTGACCTAAGGTCACCTAGCAGGCCAGCAGCAGAAGCAGGTCCCCAGCCTGACTGGACCCAAAGCCCTGCTTCTTTCCAATGCATCAGGGACCTCACAGAAGGGTCTGGGACTATGGAAATCTATGTTCCGGATGTTTGAGCAATGCATTTTCTGGTTAGTTGAATATTCCAGATAGCTGAATTGTCAGGTCAGATGAAGGTTAAGAAAGAAGAGGGGAAGGCAGAGATGGAGGTTCTCCAAGCCTAGGATTCTTTTCCCCATCAAAATTCTACTTGTTAAAGCGGATGAGTCTCTGCCTCTCCGTGGATTGTGAGCTCCTCAAGGACACAGTCTCAGAGATCTGGTCATGATTAGGGGAGCAGGGAGCCACATCCGCCTTGTAACCCCTGCCTATTTGTTTCTAGAAGGTATGCACTGTGGTCTGAATTTGAATTTCCCAGATGACCAATGCAGTGGAACATCTTATAGATGTTTAATAATTGCTAGTTTTTTTCTTTACTCTATCTTATCTCTTATCTTTTTTGCATCTTTGCATCCTATCCCCTCTCCTAGGACCTGACAAAGTGCAGCCCTGAAAGATGCCAGAGTCCTGGGGACCTAGATTGCCAGGTGTTGGCAGTTTTCTGTTACAGAGAGACAGCAGCCCTTCAATGTCTGTCTTCTGCCTACCTTGCCAGCCTCTGCTCTCAGCTTTCTATCTCTTTGCACTTGACTCTTGAGCCAGATTGGCAGTCTCAGAGGCTCTCTGAGCCTCTGAGCCTTTGCAGATACGGTTCCCTCTGCCTGGGACTCTATGCTCCCCCTTCCTCCCCACGCCCCCCTTTACGGGGCTAACGCTTAGGTAAGTCTCAGGTCACATGTCCCTTCCTCCAGGAAGCCCTGCTGATACTTTCCCCACCCCCATCCACCAGCCTGGGTTACTTGCCCCTTGTTTGTGGCTAAGTGACATCCTGTACTTCCCCTTCCAGCACTTATCATGCTGTGTTGCAATTGCCTGTTTGCTGTTCTTTTTCTCTTGCCCCTTCCTCATCCCGTTGAGAATGAGACTTCGTGTTGCTCACTTTTATATCTCATGAGCCTTGAGCATCAGTGATATTTGTTAAATGAAGGATCTGGCCCACATCCCTTTAAAAGGACAAAAATATACCCTTCTGTGCCAGCTATACTAGAATCAATGATTTCAGACCCATCCTCCATCTCCCACATCAATCCTCCTATTTGACAAAGTCTCAAGGAAACAGACATTTATGGAGGGTCTACTGGATGTCAAGCACCAAGACAGGCCCTTTACATGTGAAGCCATTTTCACAATTAAAAGCCTTAAAGCTCCACGTCTAGACAGCACTTTGAAACTCAGAGGCTCTGATGTCCAATCAGGCCATGAACAAGCAAGGGGAAAGGAGTGATGTCAAAATGCTGTCCATCTTGATAGTGGCAAAGAGATGTCAATAGAGGAGGACCCCACATAGCACTGAGCTCTGGATCCTTGTATCTTCATGCCTGGCACATTGTAGGAGCACAGGCAAGATTTGTTGGATAAATGAAGGAATGGGTGAAGAGAGAAGACAGACAGGGTAGACCGGAAACCTAGAAGACCTACATTTCTTTCTGGATCTGACCTAATATATTTCCCCCATTTCCTCCAAGTGTTGCTAAACAAATCTGGACACTGAGGTATTTTTGTCTTGGGCAGCTGTCCACAGTGCCAGCCAAGGCTGATCCTTGCAATTTCTGCTCAGACTGCATTGACTAAAAATGGTTACACCTAGCAACAAGGGAAGCTGAGAAATTTCTAGTTGCGAACCCAGGAGGAAAAGAAAACAGATTTGGAGTGCACAGTTAGCAGCCTCTGCCACAGGACACAAGGACCGTCTGGCCTCTGCCCGTCTCACTGGGTGGCCATGAGCTATCACAGGGTTACTGGATGCTCACTCTGGAAAGGCCCTTGGGGATCATTTAGTTCAACCCCCTGATTTTACAGGTGGGAGACTGGGGCCCAGAGAGACAAGTAAGTGATCCTTCACTGTCAGAGTTGTTTCGTGCTAGAGTCACACTGTTTTGCTTAATCGGTCAGTGCTTTATCAGCAAAGTGGGTCTTTAAACAAGAGAATCTCTCATCTCCTTCATGAAAGTGTGTGATGTTCACATTTCAGTGATAAAGAAGAAACCATTAAAAGCAATACAAATTGAGATGTTGATGATACAATGATTATTACAGCAATGCTGAACCTAAATGATTCTTTCTTTTACTAATCAGAAGGCTCTTCCGATTCTGAGGTCCCTAAGAGTCTTCATTATTAGGAATTTCAGCTGCCCCCACATAATACTGCAAAATCACTTAGCTGACAGTGTGTATGTAGGGTGAAACTCTATCACTTTTGATAAAAGACCAATTACTAATTGTAACTGCGCAATTCTTTAACCTTCTTTGAGCTTTAGCTCTTTCATCAGTAAAATGGAGTTGATAAAACCTACCTCTCAGGTTTGTTGTGGGAATTAAAGAAGAAATGAAAACCATTTGATATAATATCTGGCACCTAGTTGGGACCCAATAAAGGTAAGTTTCTGTTCTTACATAGTTGAAGGGCTTTCTGTGAATACCTAGGAAACCATTATACATAACGATTGACGTAATTACTTTCAAAAGGGGCACGTCTAACATTAAATCAACAAATATAATTTTTTAAATAGCTGCAATTGCTGAACTAGGTGCCTAGGATTCACAGACGAAAAGTAAACCATCTGTTCTCAAGGGAGACTGAAACGTAAACAGAAAAATAACAGCACCACGTGACAAGCTGCCTCGACAGAATGGCGGGGATTGCGGGGGGCGGAGGCTTAGCAGCCGGTTTTCGTGAGTGATGGAGGGCTTCCCTGAGGAGGCTATTTGCTTCCTGGGGAAGGAGTAGGAGCTGGCCAGGTAGAAAGGAAAGAGGTTGGGGTGGACCCTGAAGCGTGAGACAGCACATTTTCTATAATGAGGGAACTATTTTAGGTACTGCTGGAACAGTAGCAAAAAAAAAAAACTAGCTTTAGTGAAAGAGAAGGGACAGGTGACTGTGACGTCAGCAGGTTTCCGATTGATATTATCTTGCCAGAGATGGGGAGCCGCTGAAGAATTTGGGGCAGGGAGATAACGCGGAAGAGGTGAATGGAATGGAGTGGGAGAATGCCAATGTGGGCATTCCTGTGGGCGGAAGTGACGGCTGGCTGGCTGACGACCACCGCCCTTCATTCATTTAGTCGTTCAACAAATAGTTACTACAGGTCGGCTGTGTACCAGGAGCTGGAAATCAGGCAATGAACAGGACTGGCAAAGTCTCTGTTCTCATGGAAGAGACTGACAACACACAAATAAGGAAACAAGCAAGGAAGTATCAGCTAAGTGCCGCTTGGAAAATCAAACCAGGTGATACAAGAGTCCCTCCCTGAGCGGCCGCTCCTACCCGCCTCCCCTCCTTCTGAATACTCACCAAACCTCCTTGAGATCTAACTTTGGTTCCCCAAGGAGGCTTTGCTCCTAGAAAAATCTCTAAGGTAAATAACGAATCCAGCTCTCTGGGTGCTTCCAATAAGCCTTGCCTGAGTGGGGATAGTCAGAGCTAGTCTTCGCTAGGCTTGGCCAGTTTGTAATCCTTGCTTAAGGACCACCGAATCTACCAGAAGTCTCAAATCTGAGGGTAGGGGAAGGTCACAGCAACCTTAAGAACTTTCGTGATCCTGGTTCCCTTGGCAACGCATGACCTTCCCCCTTCCCCCTCAGCCGCTCCCCCCCCCCCCACTTATGAATGTATATATCTCTTTTAGAAGAGAAACATCTGCTATTATGGTTGAAATTGTGCATTCCTCTCCTCCGAAAGATGCAAACTTTTAAAACACGCCCCCCGCTTTGGGCTGGAGCGCCCCCCGCTTCCGGGCCGGGTGGGGAACGCCGGCGGCCGCGCGGTCCCCTAGCGCCGGAGCGGGAGGCTGGCGCATCCCCACCAGGGCTCGCTGGTATGTATGTCAGAGCTCCTCAGTGCCAGAGGGATGCGGGCCAAGAACAAAAAAGCGAACGTTGTGTTAAATGTAGCTGAAGACCTGAAATGCAGATTTCCCAGTGTGCCCGTGGTCTTCCCCCGTTTGACACATTTACTCACCGCGAGATTTTTTTTTTCCTAAAAAAATTGTTTTATTATGAAAACTTTCGAAGACACAGGAAAGTTGCCTATGTTTTAGGGAAATTTAGTGAAAGCTCCAGCAGGGCCTCTCCGATTTTGCCCAGCTTCTCTGGACTGCGTGATAGTCGTGGTTTGCCTCTGGGGACTATAGCAGTCGGGGATGACTAAATTAGTGTCCCTGCTCTGAGGGGTTTTTATTCTGGTTGGGGAGAAAGGGGGAAAAAAAGGTGTTTTTTAAAAAAAGTTTTTTTCTTTTTTTAGCAGTTTACACCTTACAAGGTGCTTTCACATTCCTGATGTCGTTAAAAATCGTAAACTTAGAGCCGCAAGGAAATTTAGAGATCACGGGGGGGGGGGGGGGGCCGGGGGGCGGCCGGGTTGGGGGGAGGCAAATACCTGGCACTTATTGGGTCACTTCTTAAGCGCCTGCTCATGGTAGACATTGCTAATCGATCACTCACTCATTCATTATTGAACATTTTTGGACGCCCTCCGTGTTCCACATGTTATGTTAGGAATACAGCAGGAAACCAGACAGACTTGTTTGCTACTCTTATGGACCTCCAAGGGGAAGACAGACATTAAACAAATAATTACATGCATGAAGAGTGTTTTAAAAAGGCAGAGTGTGTGGGCAGACAAGGGCATCACACACCTGGACCTAACCTGGGGGTGGATCAGGGTCAGGAAAGGCCTGTGGGAGGAAGTGATGTTTAAGATGAGGTCTAGAGGATAAGGAAATTGAGTCTCTGAGAGGGTGAAAAAAGAAACATTACATGGTGGCAGGAGTCAGGGCATGCTCCATGGCTAAATGAGCGGGTATGGATACTAAATCGGGGTAGGTGTCCAGAGGGAAACAGAGGTTGGTCCAGCCAGGTCTTGAAAGAAAAGTCAGTTGAGAGGAGGAGAGGGCTGGAAGAGCTTGAGCGAAGGTCAGATATTGTTTATCCACCCCCTTCCTAGGGAATTATGCCCTCACCTGCTGTCGTTAAAAAAAAAAAACAACTATAAATTATTGGCGACCTACTAAGTGGTGGCAATTCTCATGAATTCTCACATCTGCCTTGAGAGATAAGTATTATTTTTTTCGCAGTTTTACAGATCCAAAAAGGCTTGGGAGGACTAAAGACACTTGCTAAAGGTGGCCATCAAGTAGGCAAGAGAGCTGGAAGCTGAGAGTTGCACTTTCCACAAGTCCTCACCGCCGTCAAATCCCTAGACCTGGGCTTGCTCTAACAGCAATGAAAGAAAACTTGGAAAGCTACAAAAGATCGTCGACTCTGAAATGAAATATTACTGGGGTGGGCAGAGATGCCCCAGGTGACTGGACACCATTAGGCAGAGGAGTGTGAGGAAGAAACAGAGCGGCGGCGGGGGTTGTGGGGGGGGGGGGGGGGGAGGCGTGAGAAGTGACCCAGGGGGAGTCCCTGGGCTGCTCCAGGACTGCACTGCGGGGAGGTGCCCTGCTCTAACCACTACCCGGCCCAGCCCGGTTAATCATTTCCTGACCTTCCTTCCTCCTCTCGCCCTGCCCGCAGGATTGCCACATCAGCCTCCGCACCACCCTCCCCCCGCACCGGCTCGCCTCCCGGCCCTATTGCTCCTTCTCCGGGTTTTACAAGGAGCCCCAACTTTGAGGCAGTACTTGTAATAGCCCAGGACGTCCTCAAGGCCGTGCCCCAGAGAGAGCGCAGGCTAGCTCGGGTGTAATGCGTGCCCAAGCGGCCCCTTGAGGCTTGCCCTATACCCTTTCTACAAAGAGGTCAGAGAGCAGGGGATCCACTCCCCGCACGGATTAACCAATTACGGACTCAGTTTCCCCCGAGGTAAAAAGCAGAAGGTAACTGCAGCTGGCAGGGTGCTGCGAGGTTTAAATGAGGTATTGTATGTAAAGTGCCCGGTTAGGAGACAGTAGGTGTTTAACCAACGTTACATCCCTTTCCCTTTTTATCACCTGGTGACCGGGACCTTGCGCTCAGCAAACCCAGGTTTCGTCTATCTCACTTAAACTTCCACCGGTGGGGGCGGTACGGAAGTTCGCCCACGTGCTCGAGGTGACGCACATGGTGAGCCACAATGACAGCGTTTGAACCTCCGTTCGTGGGCGCCCCCGCGGGCCCAGCCACGCAGCACCCAGGTGGCTGGCTAGGGCCAGGTGTTCAGAACCTAGAAGCGGGTCCGTATCGCACCTGTCGCAGGGAGCAGAACACGAAATCAGGACTGCTCCTGGACCTATACAGCCCGCTGGGCCACCAGCGGCCAGGCCCTTAACCACTCTGAGCTTGTGTCTTGTGTAAAACGGGGGCGAAAGTGCCTGCCGGCCCGAGAGGTTTTTATTTTTTTCTTCACACTTTCCTGAGAGGCCAGATTTTCTACCACCGTGCAGACGGACGACCACAACTCGCAGGATCAGTCTTCCCTGACTGCGAGCGCTCGCCGGGCCGCGGTGAAGGCAGCGGCCGGGCCCGGCGTGCCCGGACTCGGCGCCCCACCCTTCCCGGGGCAGGGGGAAGCCGCGGCCGCCCGGGGCGGCGGAGTTGGGAAAGTCACTTCCCTGCTCAGCCTGACTCGGGGCCACCCGCCCGCGCGCGCCGGGACGCCACCCCGCGGCAGCGGACGGGGGCGGGGCCGGGCCTGGGGGCGGGGACTGCCCGGGGGCGGGGCGGGGCCGGCTTAGGAAGACGGAAGCCCCCAGCCTAGGGGTGGCGGTAGAACCCGGATCCCGGATTTCCACGTTCTCCGGAGCGGGGCTCCTGGAGACGGCGGGTGGGAAAACCCGGCGCCCGGAAGCCTTTGCTTTCTTTGACGCAAGGGCTCGGGACGCAGCCGCCGTCGGCCGAGCGCCCGGCGAGGAGCGACACCAGACGGAGCCTTTGCAGTCCCGCCGCCCCCACCTCGCCCGGTCCCGGAGCCTCGGTCCTCCTCGCCGCCCTCCTCGTGGCCATGGAGTGTCCGCACCTCAGCTCCAGCGTCTGCATCGCTCCGGACTCAGCCAAGTTCCCCAACGGCTCCCCGTCGTCCTGGTGCTGCAGCGGTGAGTGCGGCCCCGGGCGGCCTGCGCGCACCCGAGGCCCCGGCTCCGCCGGGCCTGCCGTCTAGGGGCCGCTGGCGGCCGGCGCGCGGGCTCGGGGAGAGGTGAGGGCGAGCCGGGCCCGGCGGCTGGCGAGGGGTCCGCGCTGAGGCGGGCGCGGCGGGCGGAGCGGCGGCGGCTCCTTTGTTTCCCGCGGCCCGACGGCCGGGCGGGCGGAGGAGAGGCCCGCGAGGGGCGGGAGCCTGCGGGGCCCCGAGCGCGTGGGGGCAGCGGCGGGCGGGGACCCCGGCCC